AAATTATAAAAATTATCCATGTTAGTGCTTGTCTTGCCATGTAGACGGCAGGCGTCCACGTTAGAGCTTAGGCCACGGAAAGACTATTCTGACCAATCGTTAAAAGATTTATGATTAAATTGATCAAATCGAAAGGTTTAGAGTTCTATCGACATTCATACAACAGGTTTCGGATATTTTTGGGTGCTTTCTCGAATCCAGTTGCATCCGGGGAAGAAAAAGCAAGCAAGACCGGCCATGAACAGGGTTTTCAGCTGGCCAATGAATGATGTCCCAAATTGACAAGAGAACAAGGGGGGTATATGTGGTCCTAAACCCCCACCCTGCAAACAACTGTGCGTGGGTTGTGTTGTGGCCATATAGTCTAAGTCTAGTAGTCCCATGTGGTTGTCTCTACGTCTCTATCAATAGGAATTGGGTACGCTAGGCAGTTGGAAGATAAGATGCCCTTTCTTTATTAATGCAAGAAGATGGACCGTCCCTACAATTCCTAGAAATCTCCAGGTATTTTTAAGAACACGGTTTCGTCGTAGCTCAGACCCGTTCTTAGCTTGCGTACCGTTATCATTCTCGAAGAAGACGAAGAAATCTATGATTGGTTTACCCGGCGCGGCGTTCCCGTCCCCCAGACCGATCTTTCCCTCGTTTGAACCGTTGTCGTTTTGTGAAGAAAGTAAAGGAATTGAAGACCGTCGTCGCGCACGGGATCCAGCCTTTGATTGCTTCGTGATGGGTGGGTCTTGGAGCGTGGGTGAGGTTGACATTTCGCATGACTTCGAATTTCATGTTATACTAAGGAGAAAAAAAAAAGTACCAAGTCCGGATCTAGAACGTGGAGGCAAGTTAGCTTAAGTTCTTTGCACCGGAATTCTTCACCAGTTTTTGGGTCAACATTTGCAATGATTCTTCTAAATCCATGTTCAGAGAATGTTGGCATTGGAATAAGAATTGTTTAGTGGAAGAAATCCTGTGAATTCGACAGTTCTTTAGAAGTGTTTTGCTGGCAAACATTCCCCTCGGCTCGGTCAATCATCGCATTATGATTAGGGGGGATATGTATTCTTGATTTGCTCCGTTAATGATCAGATCAGGTGAATTCTCAACATTCCAAAGCCTTCAAGCATATTGAGTTTTGCTCTTGTTGACTCTCATAGATGATTCGTTCGAATAGCTAAGTGCATGCTAATGCGGGGTGGCTTACAGCTAAGGCGCATCTCAACTTAAGATAACCTCCCCAGACCGACATCCGAGAAGTGCTAAAGTAGGGAAAAGTACTAAAACAAAATCTTAAACCTATTACACTTGTACTAATTTAATCCTAAATCTTTCGATTATGCCAATTAAGTCCTCAACCTTTCAACCATTTGCTAATGCAGTTCATTCAATCAATTTTGGCCCAAAATTGCTAACATGAACGCTAGCAGTCTTACGAGGTACGGTCAGCATTGACGTGAACAATTTTTTATATATATATATTTTTTTTCTTCGCAAATGTGGGTCGGTGAGGGCCTCTGCGCCCTTGCCCAAATCTAGGCAAGGGCCGACATCCTCGCCCATTGGCTAGTGAGGGTTGCGACGCTCTGCCTGGTCTAGGTGAGGGTGTTGGCCCCTGCTTGGATATGGGCGAAGGCCCGTGACCCTCGCCGGCCCAGAGTTGAAAAAAAACAAAGAAAGAAAAGAAAAGAAAATTATTAAAAAATTCAGAAAAAAATTTAAAAAATTGTAAAATTTGTCCACGTCAGCGTCAATCGTGCCATGTAGGACGGCCAGTATCCATATCAGCGATTTTCTGACAAAAATTGGCAAGATGGAATACAAAGGTTTATGACTCAATCGTACAATTATAAGGTTTAAAACTGAATTGGCACAAGTACAATAGGCCGACCTTAGCTATGGCCGTTGAGGGCTTGGGGCTAGGGCCGCAACGCCTCGCGGCCTTCACTCTGAAAACCAGAAAAAAGTAAAGAAAAGGAAAATAATCATAAAAATCAAAATATTATTAAAAATGTTCACATCAGCGCCGGCTATCCTTGACCGTGCCACATCGGCCAAGGACGGCTGACATCCACGTCAGTGACTTCCAGTCAATATGGGCCGGATTGACTCAATTGACAAAACCTAAAAATGTTTAGGACTCAATTGGTATAATTAATAGGTTATGACTGAATTGACAAAAGCGCAATAGGTTCAAGACTTCTTCGGTAATTTTCTCTTACCATTGTACATGGTGTTAGTACAAACCCTACTCTATGCTTTACTTTTGACATTTTTGTCTTGCGTTTTCCATCCTCGAAATGGAGGCACCGACGCTATCCTAACGGTTAACGCTTCCCTCGTACGCTCGTTTGAAAGGATCACTTCGGCTTCAGGCAAAACAACACACATCAGTTACTCATCAAGACGAATGGAACAGACAATGCGGTTCAGCAGAAGATTTTACTGGTTCAGCAGATGTTAGTCCTACATGCCCCGATGTTAAAACAGAGTGTTCATAAGCTGACACTTTCTTTTTGGCCGCGTCACATGTGGACTCTGATGTGGGAAGCTACGGGTTATCAGCTTTTTGCTCGTTTTAATTCCACGACCTTTTGTTTTCATCTCGCGTGAACCCGAGAGAAGTTAAATCGAAGCAAGAAAAGAAGAAAGGCATCCAGTCCTTGAAAAATGTCGGCACGTAAGAACAAAGAATCCGAAATCATTGAACAACAACGGATTATTCTTGGGGCCATTCTATATCTACTAAAGCTGTGGTTGTTATAGCCCAAGTACTCTTGAAACCACACCAAGACCAGGGACTATTTTCACTTTGGAATAAATGCCAGCTAATTTTTGCAGCATTATTTGTCTCCTTAACAAGAAGATATAAGCAGCCTCCCAGCAAACCCTAGTTTTTTTCTTTACTTTCACTTTTGTCTTTTGTTCCTTTCTTAGCATGTGTTCCGGTGATTATTTGTCGTTCTTATAAAGCAAAGCGACCGCCTATGTTCTTGCCGGAAAATGATGCCTCATTAAAAGAATGGATCAAATGATTGGCCTGATGGGAACATTCTTGGCAGTGATTATCAGCTAAATAATTGCCAGGCTACCCAAGTCGATAGAGAAAGTCAAACTCGGAAATTATTATTAGGGAAAACGAAAAACAGAAAGAGGGCAAAGTTATGGATGGATGCAATGCAAGGATGTTGCATGTCCAAGGGAGAAAGGACGCGGTGTTCTTCGGTGTAAAGCAAAATTGGAAAAGCAAATTTGAATCTCTCTTTTCTTTTAGATGTTCTGTTTGCTCTCTCTAGTCTCTCTACCCTTCTTTATGTGTATCCCTTTAGCATCTGTAAAGCGACGACTATCACAAGAGTAGCTTGGTCTGGTTGGAGCAAAAGAGATGGACTTTAAAAGCAACCCTCCATGGCTAACTTTTGAGAGTGAGAGAGATTAATTTGTTGCAGTGAGTTTGAACTTCGACGGTCCCGCAAGTTGCGTTGTACCATTAAAGCAGCTTAAAGCTGGTGAGCCCGACAACTCACTGATCTGTGGGTCATCGACAAAAAACTTGAGAAATTTGAACAGCATGATTCATGGGAAAGTGTTCACATGTGAGATGAAATTTGGAGCGGGTGGTTTGCACAGCTACACGAGGAACTGTGCACACCATAAGTACTGTCCATATGAAAATATTTCTATATGTGGTATGCATACAATGATCTTAAATGAGAAGATAAGTTGACGGGTCCGACAATTTGAACAGTGTCTCGTAGCGCTACACCTTGTAGAATGATGTGAACTGGGGGCAAAGTAATTCACGTGTTTGAATTGGTAAGTTGAAGCGCAATTCAACAGCTGAATACTCCTTAATGAAGAGTGCAGATATCATCCTGATAAGACTATAAGAGGGACGCATCCCTAGCGATGTGGCATAGGTTTGATCTCGGGTAGAATGTGTCCTTTTCAAGCGGTAGAATGTGTCAAGAGACTTTTAACAGTTTAGACTTTCCCACGGTTGAACCAGCGGGGCATCATGAAATTGTGAGATTGATGTCCATTCATGTAAAGGAATTAAACCATCAAATGGAGATGCAATTGGATATCTGAATGTCGTAGCACTTGATGTTCGCCATTTTGCTTGGCGAGGAGATTGATTACTGTTGAAGTATTATCCCACATCGATTAATAACGGGTCATAAATGCTCTTTATATTTATGTGGTCTCCTCCACCTATCAGCTTAGACTTTTGGGTTGGACTTTCTAACATGGTATCAGAGCTAGTGTTATCCCTTTCGCGAATGTGCATGGTCAAAATTCCACGTGAATGCGCGTAGTCAAAATTTCACGTGTCACTCATAATACGGCGTGTTATCAGTTTAAGTTTTTGGATTGGACTTTCTAATAATTACAAACGAAATAGCGAACAAAACTAGACCAACATGATGACAAAAATGATTAAGCCTATGTGTTTGAGCGTTTGATCTGGGATGTTTTATCATTTTTGTTGGATACTTGCGGCGGTGCTATTCAGACCGGAATAAACTGGACCGCCATCGCGCCGAGTCCTACCCTTTCGTCCGGTAAAAAAAAAACGATGGTCTGCAAGCAACATGAGCATGACGAGAAGTGAGCAAACTTCCCGGATGATGATGCACACCAAAGAAAAGTCTGCACAGCTAAATAGATGCAAACTCACCTGGGTGTTCATGCGTGACAGCTGCAACAAAGCTGGCTTGACGAGACCTGATCAGCATCTGGTAAGCCAAATCCTGCTACGCTATAATGGGAATGCGATTAGTGTGATGTAATTTGATTTTATAATGAAATGTATGTCTACATCCGAGTCTTATTTATTGTATTTTGTATCATATTTTTGTGCAATTGTCCTTACTTAGGAGATATAAAAAACAATAACCATTAAAAAGGGAAATAAATTCTGTCATGAATAAAAAAAAATTATGCCCGGGCCGCCATTTCTAACTACCAGATTGTCACGTGATCCGTCTCTCGGGGAATGCATATCTAAGACGAAAATCTAATGCGATTCAGCTGTATCCTTACATTGCAAGATGACGACCATTTTTGTCTAATATGAAATGAAAACGAGAGTGCATACTTTCTGCATTCTCATCTTAAGATCCTTCTCGTCAACAAGATGATCATAATGCTCATTCACATCTTATAATACGAACTGTATCTCAACAAATGCTCCAGATGGATAGAATTGAAGATACTCTTCATGTAGAGATTTTTTCCTAACCATGTTACAGTGTCAGTAATCGAGACGAGATGACATAACTTCACCCAAAACTTTAATGAATGACAAAACTTTCGAATGGCGATCGCTTGGTCTCTAACTTCCGCATGAATATTCAACGGATTCACAGAGGCCGAGGATCGACCCAATCGCACAGTACTTGTTGCCTGCAAGTGCTGCATACTATCTCCGGTCACAATGCATCATCACCAACTAACGTCTTCGCTCTTTTGATTTTCTTCTTACGGTTCAGCTTTTCCATTCCTTCATTTTCTTTATCGGATGTCTTGTGATCTCTGCCTTCTTTATGTGTCTTCTTCTTCTTCTTCCTCTTCACTGGGAGCGTTCCTTCCTCGTCTCCAAATTGGATTTCATCTAACCTCTGCCTCGAGGCCTCATTTTCTGGCACAACTCGTGCATTTTGGACAGGCTCTGCTCAAGCATGTGCACAGTGAAGATTCATCACCAAAGTAAAACACGCATTATCGAAATTAACGGTTAATGAAGAAAATGTGACCACTTCTTGAAACATTAGATCAAGCTCAAAGCTTGAACTTCAGGATCCACGATTTAATACAAGTACATTCTTTTGTTTACCTAAGGAGCAAGAATACAATTGACTGTAGACAATTTGCGTTCTTGTTCAACTTCCCTTTTAATTTTGGTGGAGATGTATGTCCGAACATATTATAGAGCAAATAATTAATTTACTCGCCTCTCAGAACCTAAGCAACGAGCAAAACCGAAAGACAGAAGATTTCCCAAGTCACTACAGCAAGTAAAGAGGATGTTACCTTCATCAGCAAAACCAGAATCAAAGAGGACACTGTTGAGGTGCTGTTTCAAAAATACCTGTGCGCATTGATGCATATTAAATCAATGAGCTATTACAAAATGTCATAAAGATACTACTGACACTCCAGATCGATCAGAGGCACGTCATAAAGATACTATTGACACTCCAAACCAATTTGAGGCATAAGAAATCATACAGGACCACAAGATATGTCAATATGAGGCCTCAGGAATCATACAAAAACAAGACGTGTCCACATAATGTAGTACAATAGATGGGAAACGCATTGGCAAATTAATTCAGGAAGAGAGGCTCTGAAGCCAAAGAGACGCAACAGGCAGATGGAGATTACTCGGCTTCAGTACCAATATATGCCTTCGTTCTAGTTAGGTCCAAGACTTCCCTAATGTCATCAATTGGATCCTCCAGACAAAATGGAGCCACTGCTTCTACGGGCAAAACCAAAACAACACATCCATGCTAGTTTATTAGGGCATTCTTCAGCCAATGGACATGATGAAATCACCCCTTCAAACTGTAATCCTAATTGCCCTCTTTGATTCCTATATAGCACTCTCAACTTGAGGAAATAATACAATCTTCTTCCCTTCTTGAGCTTTCAGGGAATAATCAAACTATTACTGCTTCACTCTCAGCTACAGTTGACACCCCAACCACATAACTGTGACTTTTTTTTTTTTGGACAAACATAACCGTGACTTAAGTGCCCAGGAAATGCTAACTTTCTACTCGTAGTTAAAATAACAGCGTCTGAGTCCTTGCTAAGTTCAATTTCATTCATTATTCTCCAAGTACAAACTTCTCCATCAATTTTGTACAAAAGAATTCTTTTTCATTGAAGAAAATTGAAAAATCAGAGGTCATGCACAGAATCACAACTATTTTCCATGTAAAAGGCTTACTATGGGTGCATTTGTTTTGCGGAAAATAAATGATTTGGAAAATATTTTCCTAAAAATGATTGTTTGTATCGCATAAAAAAATGAATCAACGAACAATATTTTCATTATCCACGAAAAAATTTAGAAATAAATTGCTGTCGATAATGAAACATTTTTCATTGATTAATTATTTTAAGTGATACAAGCGATTATTTTTGAGAAAATGTTTTCTAAATCATTCATTTTCCGCGAACCAAATGGAGCCTAAAAGGAGAAAAGTTCTTACAAGTGTCACAGCAGTATTACAAGCTCATAAATGTAAAAGTATGTCCTCCATTTGTAGGCTGAAATGCACACGTAATTTTTTACAACCTTGTCTAACTAAATTTCACAAGATACAATATCATTCTTGTGTCACAATACACATAGTTCTTGCACATTCCAGATCTTTTCCAGCAAGACTGACATATTTTAGTAGTAATTGCAATAACTGAAAAGAGGTCACAAAAAGCAGAAGTAACATACCGCAGAAAGAAGTTGTCGCGACTTCACATCCCAAAGGCGCAAATAGCTATCGAGTCCTAGAAGCAAATCAAGCTTTTGACTCAGTGCCAGAAAAAGAGAGAGAGCATAGAAGCAAACAAAAAGCACAAACAAATTCACTAGCCCAGACAGACTCCAACTTTAGAAGAAAAAAAATGCCCTACTCCAACATAACAGCAAATTCACACTATAAAAGTTGGGACCTGGATTACACATCCGTTTACCCACAAAGTAGATACCAAGCTAAAATACAGGTACTGACCGCAAGATGCTATCACTGGGAAGTCCGGATGCCTGGATATATATCGGATGCTTCCAGAACACTTCCCCAGAAAGCATCCTAGCAATTTTCCTGGAAAAAAAATGCTACCATCAGTACACTTATTGAGAAACTAAAATACTAGCAGGTATCTTTATGAATGACTTAGCCTTTGACAAATATTATGCCCTGACATTGGAATAGTGCAAGCCCAAGCCTAGGATTCAGGAAAACCAATGCTTAAGCCCCCCCCTTGAAAAATATTTTGAAAGAAAGCACGTTTAGACATGAAGCGCTTGGGGCAGGCTGGGTCTGGTTCTTGCACCATCGGCAAAAACCCAAGTCTAGCCCTCCCAAATGGGCAGACTTGTCAGGCCTGTCAGGCCATGTGACCATTAGTCAGGTTTGTGTCAAATCATTACCATATATCTAATCAGAAAGTACCTGTGCGCATGTCAAATGATGCAAGATCTCCAGACCCATTTCCAACATAGACTGTATAACCGTCTATATCCTCAGTAACCGCTTTAATGGGAGTTTCCCTGAAATCAAACGATAAAACAGGTCTGCGCTGAGCAGAAATATCATAGAGGCGGACCTGCCATCAAAGTGAAAACCACCATATGTTATTTCAGCAACATGTTCCAAATATAACTACAATGTACAATCATACTGTATAAGTGTGAAAAAATGCAGTGTCTTCCATCTCAACCTACAGCTTGATTTTCATCTCATCTTAATGAGCATAGTTGGACCGGATAAATTGAAAAACTTAGCTTCCGATAAAACAAAACGAATACGGAAGCCAAGGAGAGCCCTAACCAAGGTGGAACTTACAGATTAACATTGTCATCAACCTTTTTCCTTTTCTCTGTTCAGATATGCCATTTGATATGAAAAACTACATATATTTCCCTCGACTCTAGGTTTTTCTCTCTATAACACCATATTATTCCAAAGATATCAAAGTATTCTCCAACAACCTATTCTTGAAAAATTAGATCTAAGGTCAAGAAGGAATCTCGATAACAATTCCCCAGGGGTCTTGCTTCCAGGATACCTTTTAGAACCAGGCACTATATTGTCGCTTGAAGAATTTCAAACTTATGAAACTTACCTGATGACTGTTAGTACCAGCCACGACTTTACGATGATCGTCTTTGCAAAGGAATGTTGCAGATGTAAACCAAGTAGGCGTGAAAATTCCAAGGTTGTTCTTTGGGGGCTACAGTGTTTATAAATACATAGCAATTAGTCCAAAGCCACATGCCGGATGAAAAGAGACAGCTGCAATACTCATTCAGTAATGTAATAACGCTCACCGATTTTGCAGTCCACATCTTACCGCACTTGTCAAGATCCCAAATGTTAAGTTCCACCCCTTTGCTGATTTCAAAGAAACAAAATCTCCATTAATTTTATGACCGAAAAAAATTGGAAAGGAAAGCATACGCATTTTAGCCAAACGATGGCCATGGCAAGCACAAAAACTGGGCGGGGATCGAAATTACTAGACTTTTTGCTGTTGTGGCTGGATTACATGACATGAAAGTACTCACCCCCCTACTACGGCATAATTTTCACTTTCATCCACTTTACAACACAATACACTCCCTGCAGCACATACATCCCATTTATTTGTTGTGCTAGTGGAGATAGAGTCTTCAGGTGAATCCATAACTTCAAAGGATCTCATAACTGCATTTCCCTTCGTTGTACACGAAAGTAAAGTGCACGACCTATTGATGAAGCCAAAGGAAAACATTATGAGAATATACATATGGATGGAAAATCAGAAAATAATCTGAAGTATGTGTCAGGTGAAAGAATTCCAGAAACGATGCAGAAACCTTATGACAAGAAAAAGAATTCCAGAAACAATTATTAACAAAGATTTAAACTAACAACTGGAGACAAGAAGATGGATCGTATTAGCTAGATTAGGATAGTCAGTAAAGTTGCAATCTGACATGAAGGGGACCGAACCATAACATAACAAACATGGCATACCTGGATCTTTCCTCTGTTCTCTCTCTTCTGAATAGATGCAACCCAATAATAGGATCATCTTCAGGTTTTGTGTCACTGGCATCAGAAATTACAACTCGAGTGTCCCCATTAAGAGGGTTAAGGAGCTCAATCTGTCAAATGAACTTGGAAGATACATGATCAAAAGAGGGCCACTTATGCTTGGCATCACCAGGTGGAATTACAATAAATATGCAGAGAACTCCATGATGTAACTTACCTTACCACATTTTCTGGCAACTGCTAGCATCTGCCAGATCAAAATGCAGCCCAATTAATGATTTAAGCAACGTATTACAAGCTACAAAAGCTTCCTAAAACATGCAACCGACACAATGGGCACCAATCTTTCTATGTCAAGATTGAGCGTATAAGCTCCTACTAGTAAAACAAAAACAAATGTGCTCAAAACATAAGCCAAATCAGTTCCGACAGTGAGACATATTGAAAGAGCTGCAGCATATCCGATGCAATACCAAGCATGCCATCCAGTCGAGTGACCGCACAAGTCAGCAATTTTTTTCCCGAAGAATTGGCAATTCTTGCAACAGAAGTACTATCAAAGCACCGGAAAAGCAATGCCTAGACTCTGGAAAACTACTAACTCACGAGACATAAGTTACATTCCGCGAAATTTCTTTCTCGACAATTGTGCCTCTCCGAAGTCTCATCAGAAACGCAGATGCATTCTTCCAACAAATGACAGCTAGTTGTCTGATTATATCCACCTCTTTCTTAAATTAAGAAGCCTAAAGCACATCTTTCCATGGTCAATACGATCTCAACAGCCGAAAGCTTCCGACTAGCAATTAAGAACCCCTCACATACCCCCACAAAGGAACGGACAGGGACTAAACGAATTGTCCGGCGGCTCTCCTATCGACAAGGAACAAAAACCTAAAAAAATAACCACCTTAAGAAGTAACCAAAGGTGCACATGAATTCAGCCACGAGGAGGCACACATTCCCCCCAAACAATTACGCAGTCATGAAAAATGATTGCCAATCCACCCGAACATACACTAACACGCGCATAAAAAAGTACCGAGGCACTAAAAATCCGTAGTCCCCAGCAGAACTACAGCGCTCAATAAGTGGCGAGAACACATACGGGGTCGCGCTTGCGATCGTCGATGGATGCGGCAAGCACGCAACTACGCGATTCCGGCTCGCCCCAGCGCTCGACCACCTTAGGAACGCCTCCTTGCCTGCCTCTAGCTTCAACAACTGATCACCGCCGAGCATCAATCGAAGCGTCAATACATTAACACACAGAGGGGCCACAAGCAGCGAAGAAAGCGAGCTTGCGGCCAAAAGCGAGCTACTTCAAGCGACAACGAGCGGCTGCTTTACCTTTCACGAGGCCAAGGACGTCGAAGGCGAGGGCCCGGAACGGAGGGCAGCCGGGGGACTCCACCGTCGTCGTGCGCGGCATGTTTCCTACGGGCGGAGCGACCGGTTGCGCACGCCGGGATCGCGCCGGAAGTCGTCGGTGGGCGGTTTCGCCGGAAGCCTCAGCAGCTGGAGCCGAGAAAACCCTAAAGCTCTTCTGGACGAAGCCTCGAAGGAGTTTTGCTCGAGCGGGAACACGAAGATGGGCTTTATCTGTCTGTGTGAAATGGGCCTGAAGATGGGCCCTTTTGCTTCGGAGAAAGCAAACAACAAAAGCCAGCCAAAAAATTTCTTATTCCGAGCAAAAAAATTAGGTTAATACCACGAAAAGCCTCAAACCTGGTATACCTATGATAAATTTACTCAAAACTATTGTTTTGCCACAAAAAACCTCAAACTGGTACACCTATGATAATTTTACCCCAAACCATTTTTTTGACCACAAAAACCCCACATGGTACACCTGTGACAATTTTACCCAGAACTAATTTTTTGACCACAAAAAACCCCAAACTGATACATCTGTGACAAATTTACCTTCCGTTAGTTTCCGTTAAATGTTACTGTCAAATTGCTAAGTTTAATGACACATGATAATTGACAGGTATACCGATTTGGGGTTTTACCCCTCTGTTTGTCACAAATTTACTAATTTGTGATTTTTCGTAATATTAATCCAATTTAACGGACACTAATATAGGGTAAATTTGTCACAAATGTACCAATTTGGGGTTTTTAGTGGTCAAAAAATTAGTTCGAGGTAAAATTATCACAAATGTATCAGTTTGGGATTTTTTGTGGTCAAAAAATAGTTCGGGGCAAATTTGTTACAGGTGTACCAGTTTGGGATTTTTTGTGATAAAAAAAATAGTTCGGGTAAAATTGTCACAGATGTATCAGTTTGGGATTTTTCGTGATATTAACCCAAATTTATATATCAAACTGATATATAAATTTATCATTGAGCCAAAAATCTATTCTATTACGAGAAAAGGGAAATTAAAGTAATATGTACTTGACTGTGATCGATCATGTGATTATGTAACATATATGTAAATCGTTCACTTATTGATCGTATGGTTGATAAGCAATTACTTAAATCGAATTATATCAGCCTTGACTTGAGTCTTCGGATTACCGTTTGCTTTCTTTGGTTAAAATTAAGTTGACCACGAAAAATGACTTAAAAGGATACTTAGGCTCCGTTCGTTTGGCGGAAAATATTCTCCTTTTGAAAAATATTTTTCCGGAAGTCATTTTCCTGGAAAATATTTTCCCGGAACATAATTTTCCGGTGTTCGGCGACCAATATGAAAAAGTTTCGGAAAATATTTTTCGCCGCGACGGCGGCGGGCGGTGGCGTCCCGTCCGGCCGACGGCGGAGGCGGCACTAGGGCGACCGACGGCCAACGTCCGGCACGCGGCCCGCGACCTTAATGAAGAAGAAGAAGAAGCTCCGGAAAATGATTTTCGCTTTTGAAGAAGCGAAAGTCATTTTCCGTAGACTTAGGCTATTTTGTGAGGGGGGAAGGAAAATATTTTCCCACAGAAAATGTTTTCCGCCCCTCGAACACCGGAAAACCCGGAAAATATTTTTCGGGAGAATATTTTCCGCCAAACGAACGGAGCCTTATAATCGCCCTTACTTTCATGGTAAAAAGAGAAGTTGTTATTCTTATTTTCATAATACTATACTTAGATAAGAGGAGGATCTTTTCCTACCTCCGATCGCCGTCTCTTGTGTGCTCGTTTAATATATCGTGGCATGAACATCGCACGTGCATTTTTGGTAATTAACTTAAGAAATATCAACGAAACCTTAAATTGCCGCCCATCTCTATCGCCTCTCTCTTTTCTATGTCATCTCGTAACCACAACCAGCCCCTACGGACCTTCAATGGCCCTAGCGTCGACGGTGGCCACCACGGCAAGATGTCCCGCCACCGTGTGCGCTCTCTCTCTCCCTCCCTCCCTCCTCCACCCATGATTCATTCTTAATACATCTTAGGTCAAGATTCAAGTTAACTTAACGAATCTCAATTCGAGGTCCAAAAACCTTAACCATAAGTCAATTAGGGCTCGTCTAACTTGAAATTAAACTAGACCGAAGTTCTAAAGTCAATTGCCTATGGTTAGCCTTAATACGAGCTCGTTGGAGGTCGAGGATGGTCATCGAGTGCTTGTAACTCGTAAGGAAAGAGAGAGCAGAAAAACTAGCGGGACGAGATAGGAAGGAGCACAATGGCAAGGGCGATTATCGTGACAATGACCATCGGTTGCTTCGATGTAGGTGGAGGTGGCTCGCGAGTGTGGCAAACAAGGCAGCGGAATAAAACTTGTGTGCATAAAGAAAGAGACCTAAGTGTTTTTTCTTGTTATGCATTGCGATCAAATGAGACACGGTGAAATGCCAACAAGTATTGTATAAATTAATTTTATTAGAATCGAATCAATCACATTTTAAGAATTCGTACGATCCATGTTTGGACCCACTAAAAGTTCCAATAAGATTTTTGCGCTGTGAATGGTTAAGTTTTATTAAATATTCTTTTCATTCATTGTTTATAGCACGTCTTACGCGATTACCGTTCATTTAATAAAATGGGTTTTCATGAAATTCAATTTTCTATATTATGCTCGCACAAGCCTTTTTTTATATATATATTGGCCCCAAAAAGATTCCTCACATATGATGACCATATTATAATTTTATTTAACAACGACAAGCATCAAATCGGAGGCTAGGACGAGCTTAAATAATGACAAGAATGAAATACGTTCATAATTACAAAAGAAAACGAAATGGTGGAATTAGACGTACGGTTCTCGGAGACCTTACAAGCCTTCTACGCGGAGACAATCATGAGAAATCATAAAATTTTTATTTCGATACGACACAACTTCGATGAAAAAGATTTGCAAATTGTGAAGTTTTGGATAAGAGAGTCATGCAAGGCACTGAGGCCATTCACATACAAAGACCAGCAGGCAAATTCAACTAAGCCCTCATGGGTCTTCCGCGCGCTGGACGGAGTCACCAACTTTGCCCACCCCACCACCAAAACCGGCACCAAAACCGGCTCCGCCGCCGATGCCTCCTCCACCGCCGCCTCCTCCGCCGCCTCCACCGCCGCCGCCACCTCCTCCCCCGCCGATTCCGCCTCCTATCCCTCCACCGGCGCCTATGCCGCCTCCAAATCCCCCACCAGCTCCGCCACCAACTCCTCCGCCGCCACCACCTCCACCACCAATGCCTCCTCCAACACCTCCACCACCCCCAATCCCGCCACCTATACCTCCTCCAACACCACCACCTTTCCCAATCCCGCCACCAATGCCTCCAGCACCTCCTCCACCACCAATGCCACCACCCACACCACCTCCAACGCCACCGCCAATTCCTCCACCACCTCCTTTTCCAATCCCACCACCAATTCCTCCTCCAGTACCTCCACCGCCACCAATTCCACCACCTCCTTTTCCAATTCCACCCCCTACACCTCCTCCAGCACCGCCACCGCCACCCCCTTTTCCAATTCCACCCCCTATGCCTCCTCCAGCACCACCACCGCCAATGCCTCCACCACCTCCTTTCCAATTCCACCTCCAACGCCTCCTCCCCCCTACGCCTCCTCCAGCACCACCACCGCCAATGCCTCCACCACCTCCTTTTCCAATTCCACCCCCTACACCTCCTCCAGCACCACCACCACCACCAATGCCGCCGCCGCCACCACCAATGCCTCCACCACCTCCTTTTCCAATTCCACCTCCAACGCCTCCTCCAGCACCGCCACTGCCGCCACCACCAATGCCTCCACCACCTCCTTTTCCAATTCCACCTCCAACGCCTCCTCCAGCACCGCCACCGCCACCAATGCCTCCACCACCTCCTTTTCCTCCTTTTCCAATTCCACCCCCTACACCTCCTCCAGCACCACCACCACCACCAATGCCGCCGCCGCCACCACCAATGCCTCCACCACCTCCTTTTCCAATTCCACCTCCAACGCCTCCTCCAGCACCGCCACCACCACCAATGCCTCCACCACCTCCTTTTCCAATTCCACCTCCACCACCGCCGCCGCCACCAAGGCCGCCACCACTGCCGCCGCCTACACCTCCTCCAGCACCGCCACCCCCACCAATACCGCCACCTCCCCCAACTCCTCCACCACCTCCTCCAATAACCCCGTGGTGATGCTTTTTGCCCTTTTCGTGTTGCTTACGTCCACCGCCCTTCCCTACACAGTCAGGCTTCTGAAGACCATGAACGCCAGGAGTCCCAGACCCAAAACTGAAACCCACTCCTTTTCCGAAGCTAAAAGAGTGTCCAAAGCTAAACCCTTTCCCTCCTCCGAAACCACCGGCTGCTCCACCGATCCAACCATCATTATTGCCGAAGAACCACTCCGGCTTCTTCACCTCGCCGCTGGCCTCATTCTTCTCCTCCAGCTTCCTGCTCTCTGCACACACACTGCACACCACAAAAGCCAGAGCTAAAACCACGACAACAGATTTCACGGTGGCCATCACACTTATAGACTACCAACCATGAATCGATCTGTGAGTACACTACCCAGTACATGCATGGACCATGCAAAGCACAATGAACGATCCGAGGGTCGTATAGGCTTTATATAGAGAGGGATCTTCGTGAACATTGGACGGTCAAGTTGGTCGAGTTGGTGTCTCTTTTCTGTGAGCCATTTAATGTGTGCGTTACAGAACAGAAGGTGCGAAGACGGAGAGGATTGAATATTACGACGGGGTTGGAAGTTGGGACGATCTCTCTTTTAAATTTTACAGTTTGGTCACCGCACTAAAACTTTACATTCAATTGTACAGTCTGGTCATTCCGCTCAGTCGCGTGACCTTCTACGTGATCATCCCGTTCCCCCATTCATGGCTGCTTCGGTGATCTTCCCAAAACTCTCTCTCTCTCTCTCTCTCTCTCTCTCTCTCTCTCTCTCTCTCTCTCTCTCTCTCCTGTTGAGAAACGAAGCTTAGCATTCAATGGAGAAGGCAACCACCAACCCTGCAAGAATCTCACGTTCCATGGGTAAGCTCGGACGTGTTTCTAGTTAAGTGCAGGCGTTGGAAATCGGGAAAGGGAATGCGTTCTCAAGAATCTTGCGCCCTTTACCTTAAATGCCACCAAAGGCCCGTTGACTTTTCTTCTTGTCAGGAGTCATTTATGTTTTTTTTTTCCTTTGGTAGTAAATATTTCGTAACTTGGTTCTCAAAATAGAATAATTATTCTAGGACCCTGTCTTTTGTTTGATTTACCACAAGTACGCAACAGATAATCTAGGTTTCTCATTATATTACCAAAACTTACACTTTTACGGCTTTTCACCTATAAGATGATTCGACCCAAAAAAAAAATAAAACCCCAATAAGATGATTAAAGTCCAATTTCACCTCTATTGATATAATAACTAATCATTCCGTTGTCACGAACGGCTTCACTTTATCAACTCTTATATGGATTACCAAACTTTTATTCGTGTGATTTAGCAGCTTTTTTTAAATTAGCTTATCTATTAATTTTGGTTTATCGACTCCCATTTGAATTGCTTACGGGTCTTTAGTTTTTATTTTTTTTTTAAAAAATATACCAACTTTTGTATTGAATCGGTAATTTTTATTTGCCTTACTTACCAGCCCGAAATATATATATATATATATATATATATATATATATATATATATTCCAATTCCTTTAAGAGATTATCGACTTTAAATGAAGTAATTAACAGCTTTTCTCTTGTTAAGTTATCAATTGATTATACATTGCTAACTCTTATTTGAATTAGTTCCTGGCATTTATATGTCTTTTTTTCTTTAATACCAACTTTTCTTACCTACGACAAAAAGAAATTATCATCTTTTATGGACTTTCATTAATCTTCTTTCACCAAGGCCTTAGATTTACCGACTCTTATATGACTTTACCAAGCTTTAATTAAATGACTTATCAACAGTTCTCCGATTAAGTGACTCACTAGTTATGGTTTATCAACATTTATTTATTTTTTTCGTAAATTTAGCTACTTTTTTTATCAGCTTACCGCTATTATTTGTTGCTTATCAACTTTTTAAATGTACTAATACTTTTCAGAAATAGAGTCGAGGCGGATCGTGGCCTAGAGGTGGCCACGGTTCGGAACCGACCGGTTCCGGTTCGTGGCCAAGTGTGAACCGGAACCGGTTCCGGGCCGGTTCCTATTTTTTTCTGTTTTTTTCTTTTCCTTTTCCTTTTCTTTTTTTTTTCTTCCTCCGCGGCCGGCCATAGCCGGGCGAGCGTGCGAGTCGCCGTCCTCTAGGCGGCGGCCCTCGCCGGCGTCGGGTGAGAGGCCGGCCTCGCTGGGCCGGGCGAGGCCGGCCCGCCCGACGCCGGCGAGGTCGAGCCTCGCCGGTTGCGAGGCGGAGGTAGCCTTGATTGCGAGGCGAGGCCGAGCCTTGCCGGCGGCGAGGCGGCCGCCTCGCCCAGGCCGAGGGCCGGCCTCGCCCGACGCCGGCGAGTCGAGCCTCGCGATTGCGGGCGAGGCCTCGCCTCGCCTCGCCGGCGCCGGGCGAGGCCGGCCTCGCCTCGCCTCGCCGGCGTCGGGCGAGGCCGGCCTCGCCCGGCCCGGGCGAGGCCGCCCTCGCTCGACAGCCGGCGAGGCCCCTCGCCCGACGCCCGCGACCTCCGCGCCGGCCCGGCCATGGCCGGCCGGCGGTCATGCGGAGGAAGAAAAAAAAATTAAAATATAAATTATAATTTTAAAAACAGAAACAAGGAAAAAAGACAAAAGAGAAAAAGGAAAAACAGAAAAGGAAAAGGAAAAGAAAAAGAAGAAAAACAGAAAAGAAAAAACAGAAATGAAAATAAAAAATATTAAAAAAATACTATTCTTATGATAGAACATTATTCAATATAAATTGTGATTAAAATGTAAATTGTACTCAAATTTGGGGACAAAAAGACAAGAGAGAAAGAGAGGGCTTCAACTTAATAAATTATCATTAAACACATTACAATTCGTTACAACGATCTTAAAAAAAAAGGAGTACAATATATATACCCTAAAATTATCCCAAAACCTAAGCATTCCGTGCGCAGGGGACCAGAGGTCACATATCGTCGGATTATATTTCGGTTTCCCTAGGCTCACGTGGGCGTACCCGGTATGAGAAACAAGAGTTCCCGAAATATTTGCCAACTCCAATAGTTCTTTTACCCTCAATCGTCACTACCCGTTCCAGTACCGATAGTGGTAGCGGTAGTATCTCCGTCGTTAAAGAATTCGGATTCATTATTCCGATCTATCTCTTGTTGCCGGTATTGAGCCTTCGTCCAATCAGCAACACAAGCTTGCATCTCCACTGATTCTGGATATAATCTTGAACGATGTTCGTTCAAAATATTACCTCCGGCACTGAATGCTTGTTCGACCGCAACTGTGGAACAAGGGGTTGAAAAAATCTGTTTTGCAATAAGAGAAATGATTGGGTATTGGCTTGCGTGCCTCTTCCACCAATCCAAAATAAAAAATCTGTACCACCTTCGGCTTCGATAAACTCAAATAAAATGGTTAGATAACTCTCTAATTCAGAAATATTTCCTATTACTCCCTTTTGTTTTTTTTGTCTATGTAATAAAAGTTGGTACCCTCTACTAATTTTACATGTACTGTCATTTTGTATCTCCGTAGATTGAGAAGATCTAATATCACCTAAATTATATTTAGTATAAAATTCATTATATAATTCTATTACTACGTTTTTAACCTCACGTACTATGGTTGTAACATTTGTCACATCATAATGTAAACATTGATAATACGCACGCAAAAAATCATTTAAGCCATCCAATTTGCAACGCGGATCAAAAACACAAGCAACTAAATAAATCATGGGAATTTCACTATAATAATGAAGCCATTTCATTTTCATTGCAACTATAGTATGTTGTAATTCAACATCATTTTCATATTCATCAAAAGTTTCGACAATATTAGTACACTCTACTAAAAATAAATGTGTAGTAGGATAATAAACACCAGACAAAGTATAAGTTGCATCATTAAAAACCTTTAAAAGATCTAAAATTTTTTGGCAAATATGCCACTCTTGTGGGTATAAATTAATCTCAGGTATATTATTAGAAATGAATGCACATAATAAATCTTTATATGCTAAAGATTCACTAAGCAAGTGGAAAGTAGAATTCCAACGAGTTGGAACATCTCTTGGAAATCTTTTTGGCTTTTTGCCATTATCTCTACAAAATCTACCCCATTCTTTCATTTTTTTGGGATGTTTCCATAAAAATCGAATCGCCGTTTTTATTGGTTGAAGAAAAATATCAAGAGTTTTCAAACCATCTTGTACACATCAATTTAAAACATGACAAGCACATCTAATGTGAAAAAATTTTCCACCAAAAGCGGGTTTACAAATATTTTCTAACTCGGCAATTGAAGCGGTATTTGCTGCGGCATTATCAAAACCAATTGAAAAAATTTTGTTAAGCAAATAATATTCGTCTAAAACTTGCCTAATTAGTCTATAAATATTATTTGCCGTATGATGATCATCGAAAACTCTAAATGCAATAACTCTTTTTTGAATAGTCCACTCGTCATCTATCCAATGACATGTTATGCCCATGTAAGAATGATTTTGCCAATGATCACTCCAAATATCACTACCTATATGCACGTATCCATTAAATTGCATAAAAAAGTTTTGTAAATCATTTTTTTCATTTTTGTAAAGATCTTTAATTACTCGTTTAGTTGTATTTCTAGAAACACGTTTTGCTTGTGGAGCACATGCTTTTTGTACAAATTCATTAAAACCAAATCTTTCTCCAAAATTAAATGCTAAATGCTCAACGGAAATAAATTTGCCTAATTCTTCCTTATAAGTTTTTTCATTAAAACGAAATAAAGGGGAAGTGTTAGGATTGACGTACCCGGAAATTTGTTGTTGCCCGATATCGATTCCCGTTTCGGTTGGATGTTTGCTCATAAGATGTCGTTTAAATGTTCCATATCCTTGTCCACCTGTATATTTATATATTTTTTCACAATATTTACAAATTATATCATACCTTTTTTGATCGATATCAAACCTTTCCATTTTCGTGAAGTGATTCCAAATGTCGGATGTAAATTCCCGTTCCGCTTCCTTTGTTGTAGATATTTCAGCAGGAGGATGAAAACTTTCTTGCGTCGGGACGCGCTCCACATCGTGAAAAATGTTAATTTCATCATCTTGAAAATCTGCACATTCACGAGGATCAAAAGAATGATGGGATTCCGTCGCGATATTCTTACCTTTGCCAGTTGGCACTCTACTTCCACTTGCCATTTTTCGAATGGATTGAGAGAATTAAGCGGATTAATTGGGAGAATTAAGAAAGAATTGCGTGGATTGAGAAAATTGAGAGAATTTCAGAGAATTTGAGAGAATTTCGAGTATTGAGAAAATTTGAGACTTGAGAGAAGAGAATTGGAGAGAATTTGAGAGAATTGTGTGTGTATTGTGAGAATTTGAGAGAATTTATAGGAAAATAATAGAAGAAAATTTAGAATTAAAAAAAATAAAACATAACCGTTGCAAAATTACAACGGTTATGTGTTTTTTTATTTATTTTAATTATAAAAACGCCCGTTGGGGCGTAGCCGTTGCCCCAACGGGCCGCAGCCGCAAGGTGCTGCGATGCAGCAGGGCCTGCACGTCTGCAGGCCCTGCTACGGATAAAAAATTTTATTTTATTTTTTTTTTTTTTTTTGGTTGGGGCTAGTTGGCTGGTTCTCCGCACCTGCCCAGGCTACTTAGCCACGTATTTGCCGGCATGGCTTTGTGTGCAGCACAGTGCTGTATCCTGCAGCCTTTTTTAATTTTTTAATTTTTTTTTTTGCACAGAGCCGCGGTTCCGTGGCCGGTTCAATTTTCCGCAGGCCGGGCAGAGGACCAGACATGCCGCGGGCGGTTCCGATTCCAACGGCTTCCGCTGGGCTCGGAAGTTTGACCCGGGCCGGTTCAGTCCGATTCCGGGCCAAAACCGGCCCGTGGCCACCTCTATCGTGGCCTATGAAAGAGATATCGACAGTATTAGTTCCAAAACTAGTCCAAAACTAGTTGAAGACGAGAGATGAATTGTAGAGAGAGAGAGAGAGAGAGGTGACTTGGGGGGAAGAGAGAGAAATTGAGGTCGACGGGGTTGTCCAAGACCGCGAAGGTGGTGGCCGGCAACGAGGGAGGAGGGTGACGGTCGAGAAGGTTAAGTTTTTGGGCGTGCGGGTTACGTGAGGCTAGGGTTTTTGGGAAGTTCACATAAAAAAAGTTAATTATATCTTTATAGTGGAGCAGATTCACATATTTGTGATAAAGGAAACATAGGTACGTTCCTAGGCATGAGTTCAAACCCGACACATACTGTCGGGCATCGTCCCAAAAGATGCTACGCCGTATTAGGTGGTTGTAATCTAAGCTTAGTGACATAAATGCAAATCTAATCAAAGATTAGGACGCAAGCGAAACTCACCTCATCTATTTTTTTTTTGGGGGGTATCAAACACCTATGAAAATGGACGTGGCCCAAAAAAAACAAACGAAAAAAAATGAAATGAAAAAGAGAGAGAAAAAACAGAGTCCCCATAGGCAGAGGACGCTTCTTCCTCCCCTGCTCGACTGATAAACCCTAGAAGCACGTAGAAAGGACCCAGTCAAGTCAACGTTTCCATATCAAACTCCTCCGAAGCATCCCACCCCGCTTCGCTTCGCTTCGCTTCGACGCCATCGAAGCCCCTTTTCCCCATCTGGGTCTTGCTTCATCGGGTCGATTCTGGGTCTGGAGACGATGGGCGATGATGCAGAGGTCGATCCCGTGAGCTCGTCCATGGCGGATCCCTACCGCACCAAGCGCGTCAAGAGATCCGCTCGCGGCCAGACGGCGCTCCCCGGCCGGCCCAACCCCGTCACCAGGCGCAACGCCCGGAGCCTCGGCCGCGGCGGCGGCGGCGGATTCGGCGATGAGGAGGACGGCGGCGGATTCGGCGATGACGGCGGCGGCGAAGGTAATTACGGTATCCAGCAAAACCCTAGTTACGGCAATGAATATCAAAATGGTCACGGTGGCAACTTTAGCGGTAGCGGTAGAGGGGCGCAGGGATACGTGAGGAAGCGTGGGCAGGAGAATTTGGTCCCTGCTGTTGATTATGAGGCGGGGTTTCCGAACCAAGGTCCGTTATGGAGCGACTATGCCAAGTTCACGTTGCTGGAAGTGTGGGGGGAGAGGTTTTTGCAGCTGGGTCGGAAGAGTGTGAGGTCTGAGGATTGGAGCGAGATTGCGGAGAAAGTGTCCGAGTGGGCACGGATGGAATTCACTGAGGTAGACTGTAGGCAGCAGCTAGATGCTTTGAAGAAGAAGTATAAGAAAGAAAGGGCGAAGATGGATCGAACGGGAATTACTCCGAGCTGGATGCACTTTAGGAGGATGGATATGCTGATGATGGGTACGAGCATGGAAGATGGCGGGTTGGCCTGCGGTGTGGATTCGGGAGAGTTTTGCTTTGCGGACACCATGGTTTATCTGGATAAGTCGAATGCGTTTGATGAGATGAGGGATAGTCCGGGCGAGTCGGAGTCGGAGATGGACGGGGATGAGGAAGAGGACGATGATATGCCTCCGCCGAGGAAGGAGGATGGAGGAGAGGGGATGAGGGTTTTGGCAGATTCGATAGAGAGGTTTGGAGAGTTATATGAGAAGATTGAGAGTAATAAGAGGGAACAGATGTTGGAGTTGAAGAAGATGCGGGCGAATTTTCAGCAGGAACTAGAGTTGCAGAAGAAGGAGATTTTGGAGAGAGCACAGGCTGAGATTGCAAAAATACAGGCAGCAAGCATGGACGACGGTGACGAAGATGAGGATGACATCTACAGTGAATAGTCACGAGTATGTAATCTTTGTTTGTGTTGGCATCTTTGCCCAATAGACTAATGGAATTGCTTCCTGTTTGTAGCACCTTTTTCACTAATTCAATACAATAACTTTAATATGCTTTACTTATACCTGGAGCTTAATTGTGGGTCTTTTTACATGAATCGCACTTTGGGAATGTAGTTATCAGGCTTTCTTGGAAAATGGGGAAGATTGGAAGTAACTATTTCCGTTGTGATCCTTGTTTGGTATCATCGATTACTGGGAGGATGGATAGAAAACTGTTCCGGGGTACACGCTACTTCCTAGAAGTGGATCCTCCAATCTCCTTCACACTAAGGGGATTAGCAATGCTAAACCTTCATCAACCTTCCCCTATGCATAAGCTTGACCCTATGAGCTTTTAAATTACTTTACTGCACATATTTCTGATTACCTGCAACAGAGGATAAGTTTTCAATTGTGGAAAACATGTTTACCTGAGAGTATCTGTGCTATATTTGGACCACGATATCCAGTGTTTTTGCTTTCCTGAACTTAGATAAGGAAAATATAAGAAAGTTCACGAGGTTTAAAATCATTTGGTGAGAAACATTAGTAAAGATACTTCAGCATATTCGTTTCGTGCTTATAGATCTCTACAGTTGTTCAATAAGCATTCTTTCATTGTTAGATGCTATGTGCATCTTAATGTTCTTTCCTCCTGCTTCTTTGATCTCCTAGCTGCTATCACTGGCATCACTTAGTCCTTTTGAGGGATTTCTCCATGGTCGATACAACAGTCAAGATTCTGCATATACTAGGCCCTATCAGATGAGGTTATATATGAGACAATAAAACAGAGATATATCTAGTTTCAAGGACATTGATTTCTATCTGGAATCTTCTGGATGACTTATTGCTGGATGAAATTTGTCTGGTTACGTTGCAGTCTTTAGGCTCTAACTGAATTGCCTTCAACACATTATGAAGCTTAAAAGTTATCTGATCCGAAAATATTATGCAAATCACGTTGCTTACATTTATTAAAATGAATTTCATGTGCTTTAGAAATTTTGACTACATACACGTCTCATCTTCTTATGTTTAAAACTTAAACAAAGCCAACAAACGGCGGTACATGTACTACTTGGGAACACTTCTTGAATTTGGTGAAATGAAGAAGTAGAATTTATTGGGGTTAGAAATTCACCTTACTGTATCATTTGCTGATAACTTGAGGTCATATTGATTTTTAGGCCTGAGGAATTGATTTTTAGTGCAGTGCTGTAAGGTTGGGTTGCTTGTCTTCCTGTCGGTAGATTTTAGTGAGTTATGGACTTGCTGGGTTTTAGTTATCCATTATATATTGCGTGGTCAAGTTAATATTTGAATGTGGAGAACATTAGAAATCCCCTTGAGGGTAACGGATGCACCGTTGAGCCTGTGAAGGTGACAGTTTGGGCGAAATACGTTGGTCTGCCGCTTGGGATAGAATAATGCTGAGAACATAGAGTTAAGATTCTTTTTTAAGCATGAAGGAGATTGGTGCTCCCTCTGACTGATGCACTTGGCAAAAATAGTTGAGAATAGTGGCAATTTGTATTTATCGAAACATGTAAGGCGTCGGTCATCATTTAGGAATGTTTATGTTGCAAATTGCAGAGCTCTGTAATAGTGTGTTGCTTTGATTACACCGTGGTGGTGGCTAGGTTCCTCTGACAAGTGAAATAATCAAGCAAACCCGAGTCCTAATAGGCGATACATATAGACCGGTTGAAGGCAAGCAACACCTTCAGGAGAAAGTACATTTGGCAATTACAGCTTCATGGAGGCATCTCTGCATGTGGGTGGTGACCGTTCACTTAAGTGAAACAATGGCAGAAGGACATCAAGATATGTGGATGTTCATCAAAGAACATATTGGGATTCGACCCAGTTCCTCATCAGTCTGAACTGAAGGATTTTCGTCTCCTCTAACATGTTGGAATATATAATGAGTCAAACGTGTAGGCACTCTTTTTTTCAGGTCAGACCAGAACTTTAACAAACATGTATGTGTCACGGCCGGAGGTTTTCAATGTACGATGGACCGAGGATGATCCAAAAAGACCGGACGAGCCTTTCTTGTGTACTCGAGAATATTCCAAGGGGCAACATAGGAATTTTATACTATTCTAGAGTGTTCTTGTAATTAATGCAGGTGGTCGGTAGATCAAAAAATAGAATTACCACCGTTAGATTAATGGGAGATCTACGGTTGTAATTAGAGAAATACTTGTATATATAGGGGTTTCCTCTCCTCATTTGTATCATCTTACAATTAATAAAAATTTCAAAGTTTCTCTTGTCAGGTTAATGTCACGGTTTGAAGATGATCCAAGAAGATTAGCCTCGTCGCATCTTTGGCATGAAAGGTATCAATTTGCTTCTTGAATTGCCAAAGAGCTTTTGCAGTTCCCAATTTACTTCACTCTCCGATAGACCCTTCCATTGAATCAACTATTCTTACTTTGGCGCACAATACCGCTTTCGCATGACTCGATCCGCTGTGATGAAATCAACTGCGCAGTAATACGAGGCTTTTGCTCTGAGAGGTGCCTGTTGCGACTCTCCTTGGTCGAGGTCTTCCTCGGTTCTTCGTTCATTGAAAACTTCTAAACCGCGGAGTTAATTTCATCATAGCAGATCTAGTTATGCAAATACAGTATTGTGTGCCGAGTTGGGAGCCTGCAGTAACTTTTTGGCAATTCAAGAAGCAAATTGAAGCATTCTATACTGAAGACCATCTTAGGTGGGGAGAATGTCAACGTACAAAAGAGATGATCCAAGAAGATTTGGCCAGCCTACCCCAATATATTTCTAGGAGTAATATGAGATTGTATATTAGTTCTTGTAATTAATGAGGATAATTGCTAGATGAGGAGATAAAACTCCAGTACTAGGGTCCCATCACTTCATTTGTATCATCAGAAAATTCATAGTTTCTCTTTCTAGGATTCTTGTGAGTAAGATGAAAAAGGTTGACTTGAATTCTTGTGACTGTATAGAGAAAAGTTAACATTTTTTAATAATAATACTTTAATATTTTTTTGATTTTTTTATTCTTTTGATTTTTTTTTTTGATAAGAGAAGACGTATATTGACTTTTCAAAGTTCTTTTTATCTTTGTTTCCTTCTTTTCTTTTTTTTTCCTCCTTTCTTCAACCTTTGGCTTGGCCGGTTGCTTGGCCTCACCTAGGCAAGGCTGCCGTCGCTCGTCACAAGCGAGTAGAGGCCGACCCTCGCTAGATCTGGCGAGCCGAGGGTCGGTCTCGCCTAGGCCAAATCTGGTGAGGTCAGCCCTCACCTTGAACCAACCATTGTGGACTTTAACTATGAAGGAATGCGATAGCAACCCCAAGCAAAAGCACAAGATGCGACTCCAGGGGAAGCTTGTCCGTGGCCGCGATGGGTGAGGTCACAATCCCGATGGTGGAGCCTTCGGATCTTGCCACCACCCCAACGGGCGAGATTGAGATCCTGGGGGCTCCGTTTTCCCTTGCCTCGCCATGGCTGGTGGATCTAGTTAGTGCGTTGGGAGGGGACTCATCGCTGGGCGCGGCGGCCACGACATGTGTGGAGGGGCTCACCCTCGCCCAGGAGAGGGTTGGCTAGGCCTCGCTTGTGGCGGGCGACCGTGGCCTCGTCCAAGCAATGGCGGCCTCGCCCAGGTGAGGCTAGGCGGCCGGTCACCGGCCAGGCCAAAGGTTGAAGAAAGGAGAAAAAAAAAAGAAAAGAAGGAAAAAAGAATAAAAAAGAATAAAAAGTTGAAAAAATATTATTAAAAATTGTTCACGTCAGCGCCGGTGGTGCCGTAGAGGCTGACATCCACGTCAGCAATATCTTGCCAAAATTGGTTAGAAAAACTGAATTGACACAAAAATAAAAAGTTTAGCACTCAATTGACATAAAAAAAAAAGATTTATGACTAAATTGACATCAATACAAAAGATTTAGGACTTTTCCGATACTTTTTTTCATTGAAAAGGTCATTTTTTATTTTTTGGTTCCCGAAGCTAGCCCTTTTAAAACCGGTCGTAAGCGTAATGCTTCGCCACGAAGAAAATTCGAATCTGATTACTTTCGGGCTTAACTTTTGGGAGAACGCATATTAGAATCTAGGTACTTTTGGGCCCTTTTAAAACCGATCGTAAGCGTAATGCTTCGCCACGAAGAAAATTAGAATCTAATTACTTTTGGACTTTAACTTTTGGGAGAACGCATATTAGAATCTAAGTACTTTTGGCCCCTTTTAAAACCGGTCATAAGCGTGATGCTTCACCACGAAGAGAATTAGAATCTAATTACTTTTGGGAGAACGCATATTAGAATCTAAGTATTTTTGGTATTAAGTTTTGGGAAAACGCAGATCAGTGTATAATATACTCGGGGTGACCCGAGTAAAGTCTTATATCGAGCACGTGTAAAGACTAGATCGATATACTTAATTAACCAAAAAACTCTCATTAAAAATATTTTCAATTTGTTATGTATCCAAAGATATCACAATAGTGAGCGCTTACTCATATCTTTTGAAAATCAACATGTTAATGACACATCCCAAAATCTTAACTTGGGCCTCAAGAAAAACAAAAGGCAAAATTGATAGTGATTGGATTCTCCATTTTTCCTATAACCTTCCAAGATAAACGTCGCCAACCAAGACTCGTTTCGTTTTTTTTATTCTCTTCCTAAAGAAAAAGAACTTTCCAGATACTCAATTCCACCATAAATAAACTCACCACCTCCTCTTTCTTCATCATCGTTCATCTCCCTCTTTCAATCTCAGAGTTCTGTCATCCCTTCAAACCATCTCCTCCATCACCTCCGCCGTCACCACCCCGCCATGCCGAGCCGATTCCCAGGGGCCATCACGCAGGACTGGGACACCGTCGTCCTCCACAAGTCGAAACCCAAGTCCCAGGACCTCCGCGACCCCAGGGCCATCAACAAGGCCCTCCGCTCCGGTGCCCCCGTCCTGACCGTCAAGAAGTCCGACGCCGGCTCCAACAAGAAGTCCTCAGCCCCGGCCATCAACGCCCGGAAGCTGGACGAGGCCGCGGAGCCGGCGGCGCTCGAGAGGGTGCCCGCCGAGGTACGGCAGGCCGTGCAGAGGGCGCGGCTGGAGAAGAAGATGAGCCAGGCCGAGCTGGCGAAGCAGATAAACGAGCCGCCCAAGGTGGTGCAGGAGTACGAGAACGGCAAGGCGGTGCCGAACCAGGCCGTGCTCGCGAAGATGGAGCGGGTCCTCGGCGTCAAGCTCAGGGGCAAGATCGGGAAGTGATCGCGGGGGAGAATCGATGGCGTCTAAGGACGACTGCGGTTTATGATCTCTTCGCGAGATGAGACTGATATTTGAATAATCGGCGAACGTAGTTGTATGCTGCTTCTGTCTTCTCTGTAAATGGATATGTATGCCAACTTCTTAGTTTTGGTAAATCCTCTTCATCTTCTTCTTTTGATCATGTCGGATCTTGACCAAAAATCGAAAACCCTACCATGCCAACATAAACCCGCATTCGGACAGGGAAGAACTTAAACATTGGACTCGCGATGAAGTCGAGAAAACGATAGACGATGGTGTAACTGATAGATAATCAATGACAACAGACAGCCCCCACCGAGATTTCCTAGACGAGGAGCATAAGAAAAATGACAGGGAAGGCGGATCATCATCTCGTGATCTAGCCACTTTATCTTTCTAATCTACGGTCTTACTGTCCGTAAGATGGATACTGATGCGCGTTGTAATCGTGCATACCGTGACTCGCCGCTGGGGGTACGTATGTACCCACGCGATATGAACTCCCGCCGCTGCCGCCGGTGCCCACGATGGGCGAATAGGTCACCCTCTGGACGATGGGCGAATAGGCATTGGAGGGGGAATACTCCTGAGGGATCACGATTTGAGCTTCGGTCGGACTGTGGGACCTCCCATAGGCCGCTGGCGCGTACGCGGTCATGCTCGGAACTTCGTAAGCGCCCTGGCTGGGATAGCTGTAAGGGGCGGAATATCTTACGGCAGAACTGAGGTGCGCGAGTGGGAGCGGGTTCCTCCGACCAAACGAGGGGCTAGGATTAGCGAATTTCGCCGCCTTGGCCGGGTGGGAAGAAGACTGCCCACCACCGCGGCCAACGCCGGGTCCATAAGCTCGTTTATTGGCAGGCTTGCTAACAGAAGCTGAGTTCTTCTTTCTTTCCGCCTTGGCTTTCTCCAGGATGGCGGCTCTCTTCTTTAGGTTGTCGAGAGAGAAGACCGACTCGAGTTTTTGGTCTTCCACGCACTTGATGACCGTCTTGATGGCGCTCAATTCGATAGTACTAGCCTCCTCCTGAAATGTCAAGCCGTGCCAGGTGAATAGAGTCAACAAAAAGAACAGAATTTACATGTAGATGGGAAAGCATATAGATTTATGAAAGATCGAAGCGTTCCCCTCTGTTGTTTACTCATTTTTGGTTGCAGGGGCGGCCCGGTAAGGGAAGAGAGAAGATCAAAGAGGTTAAACCCACCGCGGAGACCATGCTGTTATTGCCGCCCTTCAACACAGTTTGAGCGTTCTTCTTGGCGTTACTCAGGTACGACTTTAGAAGAGAAGCCGGAGAAAATCTGTCGGTCATGCCCGCCTCAGCAGCAAAATAGACAGCCTCTATCTCCTTACCATTCTTCACCAGTTCCTCAATAATGTCTGCACATCACCAGAATTGACTAACTCAGCACAATCTCACCCAAAAGATTCTTCTGCGCAGATGAATCATCTAAAGGGCATAGTTTTTAAGGACACGCACGATAAATTTGCTATCCACCGGCATAGAATTGTAATGCAGTAGAAATTTTAAGCTTTGGCCCGATAATGAATTTGAAAACCTTTAGGCCTATGCAATGGAAAAGTATTTAGAAATTGTTTTCATGTCGAACATCTCATCCTTCTCTCTTCCCTTCTCCTCTTTATGTGCATGCAATTCGTACAAGACATAAGGCGGAGTAGGAGGCAACTTTGACATGGTTATTCCGCTCTCACAACATGGACAGTCCAGCAGATTAACAACTCATCTGAAGGAAGTCTTTACATACTGCTCTTTTTTTTTTGGGTCAAACATACTGCTCATTTTAAAGAGCACTATTCCAAGATGTTGTAGCAACAATCCAGCAGCAGAAGCCTGCAGGTATGAGCACTCCCCGTTCCAAGAAACAGAGAAAAAATCGAAGCTTTGGCTTCTTGCTAGAAGCATAACAGATTCAAGATCACCAGCACATTTGCTCATATGCTCCCATAGCGATGGTGCTCTTTTTCACATTTACTATAGCTCCGCAGTTGGACAGCATACAGGAGATATTGAGCAGACAGCTTCTAATATAGGGGGGAGATCAAACAGGCTTCTGAAGCATTGTGATTCAAAGAACTTCACTATGTACGACATCTTACAATTCGGCGAAAAGCATGCGTTTTTAGCGTTTCGGGCAAATTCTTTAGCTAAAAGAACTCGATTTAAACATGAAGAGCGATCATTTATCTTCATTTCCATAGCAATCCAGGAACACCCAAACTACATGATGACATATTGATCAGGAAAGCATCAAGGACCAGCATCCTACCATTTCCTTCCAATTGCACCAGAAATCACATCCATATGCAAAGGAAAGAAACGCTAATTCCGAGTAATCTCGCGAATATACGAGCACATCATACCTGCTAATTGTTCGCCAAAATCCAGAGCCACCGCGAGCTTGGCTAAGTCTCTTCTCCGCGCGAAATCCACCACCAGCTTCCTCAAGAAACCTTCGTCGAACCTCGATTTCAGCCCGAACGCCACCACCATTTGAAGGATCATGACCGCCTCCGCGGGCCCGATGGCCCCGTCGCTCTCTTCTCCCGCCCCGCCGGCCCCGGCAGCACCCTCCACCTGCTTCCTCCACGCGTCGAGGAGGGCGGCGGCCCTCTCCACCACGCTCCGGGCGTACTCGGGCCGCCGCGCGTCCGCCCTCTTGGCCTCCGGAAACAGGGCCTGCACCAGCAGCCCGCACGCCCACCGCTTGTCGGCCACCCCGACCTTGGCGGACTTGTTCTCCAGGAACTCCTCCACCGCGTCCAGCACGAGCCGCGGCGGGTCGACCGCCTCCGCGACGGCCGCCGGCATCTCCGCCCGCAGCGACGCCGACTCCTTCCTCCTCGAGACGAGGAGCTTGACCAGGCCGGAGGAGTCCATCCTCCGCGCGAGCGACCGCAGCTGCTCCGGCAGCCCGCGGGAGCCGCCCGGGCCGGGGCCGCCGTGGAGGTCGGCGAGGGCGGCGACCACGCGCTCCTCGACGAGCGCGGTGGCGGAGGATTCGCGGTCGGGGAGGGAGGCCTCCCGGCGGGAGAGGGACTCCAGGGCCTCGTGGGAGGCGGAGGCGAGGGACTGGAGGCTGGATTCGACGGAGAGGGACTTGTCGTCGAGGGAGCGGCGGAGGGATCGGAGGCGGTCGGAGACGGCGGCGAAGAGGCGGGTGCAGGCGGAGAGGGCGCTCATCTGGGACTCGAGGTCGCCGACGAACTGCTGGACCCTCTCCGTGTCGATCACCGGCTCGCCCGCCATTGTCGCTCCGTCGCTCCGTCTCTCGCACCGCCGGAATGGGGGTTGGTGGGAAGAAGATGATGGGGGGAGGAGGGGACGGGAAGAGGGCGACTCCGCCAGGGCGGAAACCCTCGAACGGGCCGGGCCCGGCCCGTTTGAATTGACGGAGTGGCCCGGCATGAGGCCCGTGGCGTCAACATCAGGAGACGAGCGTCATTGAGGCAGGTAAAAGAGACGTACACAGTCCCTGAGTTTTAGTTCAATGTCTAACGTGATCCTTGAATTTTTAATTTAGAGAAAATGACACAAACAGTCCCTGAACTTTGACTCAATGTGTAATTTGATCCTTGAACTTTTAATTTATTCAATATAGTCCCTAAACTTTAACCCAATGTTCAATATGATCCCTGAAGTTTCAATTTGTTCAATGGGGTCCATGAACTTTTGGTACATATTCAATATGGTCCCTGAACTTTATAAAAATGTTCAATGTAGTCCTTCCATTAATTCAAGTTCATGGACTATATTGTATATTTTCATATAGTTCAGGGATTAAATTGAACATTTACTAAAAGTTCAGGGACCAAGTTGAACAAATTAAAAGTTCAGGGACCACATTGAACATTAGGTTAAAGTTCAGGGACTACATTGAACAAATTAAAAGTTCAGGGATCAAATTGTACATTGAGCCAAAGTTCAGGGACTGTTTGTGTCATTATCCCTTTAATTTATTCAACATAATCCCTAAACTTTAGCTTAACATATAATGTGGTTCCTGAACTTTTAATTTGTTGAATGTTATGTCTGAACTTTTGATACATGTTCAATTTAATTTCAAGAACTATATTGAACATAAATAATTCAAGGATTATATTGAACATATGATCTACGTTAAATAAATTAAAAATTCAGGGATTATATTAAATATTAAGTTAAAGTTTAGGAATTACACTGAATAAATTAAAAATTCAGATATCAGATTACGTATCGAACCGAATTTCAATGACTGTTCTTGTCATTATCCGTTCATGCAGTCTTCTTCTTCTTCCTTCTTGTTTTGTCTTCTTTTGGGCGCAACAGCTGGAACTTTCGAGCTTTTTGTCAAGAGCAGCACACTGTAATTTGCCTGAAAAGGACGTTAGCTTTTCTAGCCCTCTCGAGCTTTCTCCTCTCGTTCGATTCATGTTCCGCCCCAAAAGAAAAAGGAAAAAAAATTTAGAAAGCAAAACAGAGCAAGCAACTCCACGTCTATGGCAGACACCAGCATCCGATGAAGAAACACTCGATTGAGCTCACCAGGGGCCGATCTTCGAAGGTGAAAACAGATTCCACAATAACCCGCGAAGATCGTATCGCGGTCTGTGCATTAGTTTCCGAGCTTAAACATCGAAACTAGCTCGCGGGGGTCGCATTAGAGCAGGGCCTCGTCGGTTAACCTCGGCAGCCTAGTGGACAAACATCGCCGGTTAAAGCCGCTGCCGACGATGAACCGGCGTCATCTTATCCGGAGCGTCAAAGGGTTATGCTGATTCTTTACACTTTTATCTGTAACTTGTTTCTGGGACTTTGAATGATTCCCTTTTGGTACTGTACAACCTTGGCTTTAGGTCTGTCGTGTCATGGAATATGAGTCCCTACGAATTCAATGTGCCTTAAAGTTATTCGATCATCAAAGTTCACTCCAAAATATCTCTCCGGCTTTGTCCCGTCCCGATTCTTGATCCTTGTGAGGGGTTTTAGGTTCGATTCTTAGCTACTTGTGGCGCGTTCAGTCAGACTCTGGGATCCGAAGGACTACCGATTCGTCACGAAAATACCAACTAAGTGTCGTTGATCGGAGGATACATGAATTTAGCTGGTTGGATCGACGAACGGAGATCCAAGACAATCAGATAAGAGAGACAAAGGAGATCTTCATTACATGATCTTTATCTACTATGCACGCATAGAATCTCGTCCCATCTACAACATTTCGAGAGAGGCTACACGAGTTCACGGCCAAAACGGTAATAACGTAAAAATCAGGCAAGAAAAAGATCCAATGACCACTTTCATTTCACCGCTCTCTTCTTGGCGTAGATCTTGGAGGCGGGATCGGCGAACCTCACCGAGAACGACCTCGACAGGTTCTCGGCCTCATCCCACGCGATCCCCTGGTCGAAGTTCTGCGAGTAATTGTAGAAATCGTACGGGACGTGGCCCTCGGTCGGCACCCTGCTCTTCTCCTTCTTGAGCTTCGTCCACAGCTCCCTCCACCTCTGCTTCGCATGATTAGGTCCGCTCGGCGGCGGCGGCACCACCGAGGCGACCGACGAGGACGTGCTGCTCCCGCCGCCGCGGGAGGAACGGCTGAGATGGATGGCTTCGCCATCGGCGCCGTCGGAGCAGCCCGAGTTGCACTTGCACAGGCTTCTGATGTCCATTGGAGTGAGGCATGGGAGGGTGGAGAAGGGTTGTTTTTGCTGGTGTGTTCTGCAGGGGAGAGAGCGGTTTTGGACACCTGAAGTTGGGTCCATGCCCAACTGGGGACTGGCCTTTTGTAGTACTTCTTGTTGGCAAACGCTGATCTCACTTTCAGCCTTTAAGGGTACATTTGGTAATCATTTTATTCTCGAAAATAATTTCTACTCGCAAATAAATTTTTTTATTTCATTCTTGAAAATAATTTCTAAGCATTTGAAGGCATTTGATAACTGTCCAAAATCTCTATTCCTGTAATAGAAAAATAATAGAAATGCGTTTGGTAACCGCATAAAATTTCTTTTTATTAATAATATTTTGAATTTTTTAATATTTTTTTCTCTTTTTTTCTTCTTCCCCTTCCTTGGCCCATGGCCAGGGCCGACGCTGGCGTCGCGGCCCTCGCCAAATCTGGCGAGGGTTGGACCCTCACTGCCGCTCTTGCTAGATCCGGAGAGGGTGGCTCGCGGCGTGGGCAAGGGCAGTGACGCCCTCGCCGGCCTTGGCCTGTGGCCGGTCGCCGGTGGCGGGCGATCGGCGACTAGCCACAGGCCAAGGAAAATGACGAAGACCAACCAAGAAGAAGAAGAAGAAAAAAGTTATTTTCCATTTCTGATTCTTGTTCTCATAATCAAGAATCAATTTTTTATTATTCTTGATTCTGTTCCAAAATTGATTCCGGGAACAAATTCGTGCCCGGGAACAAATGGATTTCTGTCCTTTTTCTGTTTCGGGGAACAAAAGAATAAAATAAGGTACTATTTGGCGGTTTACCAAATAGCCCCTAAGTCATCACTCTGGTGCAACAAAAGATCCATATGCTTGGATTGGTTAATATAAAAAATGATCAGGTGTTCTAATCTCAATTAGATTGTATTAATTTTTTTTGGTGGAGTTATGTCAATCTTGTAATGCTGTTTAAAGAGATTTATTTGTCGAGGTAAATACTTCGAGTCCTTTTTAAATTGACACGAAATATTCCTTTTTTTTTATATATAGAGTGAAGAATGATCATACACCATTTGGAAAAAAATGTCCATATTCTATTCGCCAGACGACCGTTAAAGTTAGGGAAAATTTCAAATATGGCTATGAAGTGGGGCTTATTTTCTCAAAAGAATTCCCAGAGTGGGCAACTTTATCTAACATCGCCCCTAGCTCACCGGCCGCCCAATTCTTCGCCGGCCGACGGGGCACGCGAGTCTCACGTGGCACTTTCCAAGTCACGACCAGTGCATTTTACTCCGGAAAATGCTTTTTTCTTATTTTCTTTCTTCTTTTCGCTCTATTCCTTTCTTCCTCCTTCTTTTTCCTTAGATGAACCCCAAAGATAAATGGATGCTCCTGTGAATTCGATCGACGCAGAGTGGGACCTTGAAGTGGTACATCTTGTATATCGAGTAGTACATTTTTAAATAGGGACCCGAAATGGTACATCTTTAATTAAACTAACCAAAAGAAAGGGTACAATTTTTAAAGTTAACTAATCAATCAAATATGTGAACCTGCTACCAGATTGAAAAGAACAACAGAAACCAAAAACTTCTTGAGCTCAGTCCCATAGGGTTAGAAAATTAGTAGAAAGTGATGGGACTTGCATCGGCCACAAAGAAAGGATTTTGCCCACTTTCCTTCCGGATTGTAAGGATCTATTGATATGTCCCATGCCCAAACACGTGAACTAAAATGTTTTAATTTAATGTGTTCATCTTCTTTGAAAAGATTTCGTTTTTCCTTCTCTTCTTTTGTGATTGAAAAAGAAGTGGCTTGTTTTTTTGTTCATTTGCAGACGAAATGTTTCGTTTTCGCATATGTATCCGCCTGATTCTAACGAATCGAGCCACGACGCTTATGCATGATTCACGCTCGATCATACTTGAAGGAACGTGGACACATATATATTTACTATGATTGATTTTGTCTAGTGCATTAACGAGAGGAAATGGGTGGATTCGATTCTTTTTTTGAGATAGGAATATGTCAATCCACACTAAGCAGTTGAACATGGATGAAGATGTTGACACCGAACCAATAAGAGAGACAAATGCCAGCCATGTTTCATCCTTCTCAAGCAACCCTTTGAAACGCAAAAGCTTCCACGGAATGTTCAATTCCCCTTTCATCTCAAGCTTTCACGGAACCATCAATTGACTCCATAGGATTTAAGCAAGTCCTTAAAAGGCTTTATCTCGATTCTCGTTCCGATCTCGAGATCATTGGCACATTAAAATAAGAAACGCATCAGTGAAGCCGGTCGTCCCTATATATCAAACGAACAGATTCTTATAGGAGTGAAAGCTCAATTTCTTTAATGAAGTTACCTTTTAACCAAAACAGAAAAGCTGTAATGAAATGTTTCAATTCCCCTTTTATCTCGAGCCTTCACGGAACCATCAATCGACGCCACGGAAAGATATTTCAATACCATCATCATCATCATCATCATCATCAATGAGATCTGCCGTCAAGAGACCCCCTTGGAATATGCCGGTTTTGGTTCTTTAAAGATGCCCCCCTTTCTTCGTTTTCTCGTTCACCCAAAGAAATCAAAAGGACAAGAGGAGAAAGAAAAGAAAAGGAAAAGAGGATGCCCTTTTTCTCTTTTTGTGGCCGAAAGGTTGTCGTTCGAGATGCCGTACGTAACGCATATTTTCGATTAGCACGATTTAGGGAACGTAAAGAAGAAGTCCTGTGAGATAGATGGGTCACCAAATTCGACCCTCGTCATGGGGGTTATTATTCTAATATTATCCATTAAAGCAAGGATTGTTGCCAACAAAAGTGTTAACATTGACTCTGTTTTACTAGCTGCTCGATGGGGTCTTCGTGTCTGCTATGGTCATGTGGCCGTGGTAGACGCTCAGAGGTAAAGACCATCATCGTGGCCAAAACAATTGGGTGCCACATTCAGTACGATAGCAAGAACGAGATTCCATCTTCAACATGGACAAGCATGTGCGCCACAGCCGTTCCCAGCGATTAACTTTCTGCGAACAAAAAACGAGAGTCAACCGATGGATAAAATTTGTGATTTCGGCGATGGCGGCACATATAGGATATTACGAAAGATTGAGGAAACTTACAATAGCAGGAGTGCTGAAACTAACAAACAAGAGTCAAAAGCCTCAATTAAGAACAACGGCATGTGCACTTGGTATGATAATTTGAGGAAAAAGCCGTATCAACCATTATTCTATCGGCACTCGTCGAAACTGAGGTTGACACCGAGACTGGACAGCTTCATATGCCTGAAAAGATAGTAGAGGGTTCCTCCGGATGACGACTCATCATCTTTATTTGTGCAAACAAAGTACTGAGCAAGTTCTCCTTACATAGCTCCAAATTGAATATTGTTACGGAGATGAAAGAGGCAGCAAAAAGCTTCTCCGACTCATTCGTGTGTGGTTGTGAGAAGATACTGCACTAATCGAAAAGTTAAGAGAACTTTATATTATTATTAGGCGTTGTCAAAGTCGCAATTGCATGTCTCGGGGCTGAGAAAATAATGAGAGCGGCTCTGGAACTGCATGGATCAATGATTTGGCTAGTGCTTGGACAACTTAATATTAAGAATAAGATTAATTATTTCAAATGCAATCGCACAAATTCTTGGAGATCTAGGTGATTATGATCATCATCGAGATCATTGTCCATCACAAAATTGCATGTTCGTTGCACGTGCAATCCACATGCAAATCTCGCGCAGTTCACGTGCAATCGATGTATTATAATCATTATTACAGCTTCAACTTTATTTCAAAACTTATTTGATGGATCAGCTAGTTCACATGTTGCAGTGTGCTCATGTTGTTTCATGAATAATTCTTCCAGAAATGCTTCGGGTTTAATTAACACTAGGGTTGAGTAGGAGTGTGCAAAATGGACCGCACAAATTAGGAACCGCCCGGATCGGAGGTTTGGTCCGGTTCTTGAGAGTGTCACCGGTGTCTGGATCCTAAAAGTGGAACCGCTGTCCAGGCGGTCCGGTTCCTGATTCTAAGGGGGATCCGGACTGACTGGACCAGACCGACTACATATACTTTTTTATTCTTTATATATCTTCAAAAAAATTTAGTAAAATGTGAACTAAATCCTAAGTGAAGTACTATGATTCTTTCTCTTTCTGTTTTCGATCAATCTTGCCAACAAATGAGCATGACCGTACACCTCCGGATGAGGTAGAGACGAGCCCTCTGCTCTCTGATGTGCTTCGAGTAACACCTCTGCCATGAATGCATCCTCATTATGCTCGTGCTTGAGTTAGTCCTTCCCATTCTCTCAACAGCCAAACACCCAAAGAGATTTAAGGAAAAAGAAGATGGGTTTCGATTCTTTTTTGAGTAAAAGTTGTTTGCTCTTCTTGTGCTGAGGCAGTGAGCAATGGAGACTTTTGGGTCAATCGCGCGAGAGAGTAAAATGGAAAAAAAAAAGTGACCGGTTCCATTTGACCAGATCGGAATTGATGATCCAGTCCCTGGTTCCCAATTTTGGGAACCGGTCCTCTCGGTCCGATTCCTGATTCCACCTTGGACCGAACCGGAAACCGACCACCTCTAGGGTTGAGGAATGTGCATAATGTGGTTTAAGTACAAAGGAAATGAATCCTTTTTTTAAGTGATTTAGTGAATGTCTAATTGAGTGGATGTGCGGTGGACAGTCATTAAATATGTGCGAATTGAGTGGTTATATGATGCATAGAGAACAGTGTGTAGTTCCAGCATTTGATGAAGGGTAATTTGGGAAATAAATTGTGATAGTGTAAGGAGAAAATTGAGGGCCTAATTCTTTAAAAAGCACCGATTTTAATTCAAATTCCAATTCTAGCCCCGACTTATTTTTTTTCTCATGAAAATACATGAACTTTCAATTAGTACCCAAATATATCCCTCATCGAGTTTCCATCAAGTTTCCGCCAAATACACGTGGAATGAGATGTCTTTAATGGCATCATTGGACGAAAACTTGATGGGGCCGGATTTGGATATCAATTAAAAGTTGTGCTTTTTTATGAGACCACAAAAAGTTCGGACTAGAATTGAGATCCGACCTAAAGTTTGTGCTTTTTAAGAAATTTAGCCAAAATAGAGTCGGTGAGTGGTTTTCT